CATAATCTACATTGGAAGTGAGAATCTGGAGTATTGAACTGAGCAGATGAAGTTGTTTTCCCAAGTTGTTTTTGTGTTTAATAATGGCTTCTGTTTGTTCGAGTCAAGCTAATTTGTCTGTGAACGTAACATGCTAGAAAAACTTCCCATAGCATCACTCTACCACCACCATGTTTCACCTTAGGGATAACGTGTGTGTGATTTTTGGATAATAAATTGCGTTGTAGCTTTAAAGCTACAGCATTTAGCTTCTATGAAAAATATGTTTTTTTTACATATTTGTTAAAACTGTCACCATGTCGTGACAGTATAAGAGACAGATAATCTCCTCCTTCTCCACCTTGAGATGCTATCTGACCAAAAACAACCAATCAGAGTCAGGAGGAGGGTCTTAACGCTGTCAATCATCCTCATGTACTTCCTGCTAAGTGTGCTAATGGTGGAGAAACATCTTACCGTTACAGGAAAACCATTTATGTGGCTGTGCTAACTAGCCTGAGCATTCAGAACAAGGGGGAAGAAAAGGGTTAAAGAGCAGCGCCACACAGAAGGGTGATTGACAGCGCTAAGACCCACCTCATGGCCCTGATTAGTTGTTTCTAGATAGCAATCAGAGAACAGGAAGGAGCTCTATTTTTTTTCACAGATTGTCTTTTTTTTTTAATAAAAGTTACATACTGCAGCTTTAAATATTTCCACAACTTTATCCCTAACTTTTAAAAAATCATCGTCTATCCTTCCATGTTGCTCTACCACATAAAATAATATAGCCTACTAAAACACATTGAAGATTGTTTTTGTAACATGACAAAATATGAAAATGTCAAGAGGTGTGAGGGCAAGGTTTGTGTTGAGAATGAGCTTTTTTCCACCAGAATGAGGGAGGCCCCACCATTTGTTGCACTTACTAGCATGAGTTTCTCCAGTCCACCCACACATTCGCACAACAAATCTGTCAGTCTCCCTTCCCCCCAGATTTCTTGGTGGAACAAGACAACGATTTCTGTGTGTGCGAGACGCCGTGCAACATGACCAGGTACAGCAAGGAGCTGTCCTTCGTCAAGATCCCCAGCAAGGCCTCGGCCAAGTATCTGGCAAAGAAATACAACAAAACAGAGCAGTACATTAAGTAAGTATAAACTACAAATACTCTTTTGGGTTTTCACTTCTTTAAGATGCAAATAAAGCATCTGATTGTGTTCGTTTTGTTCAACCAGAAGTTTTAAATCTGAAAATTACCATTTTACTGTCACAACAACTAAACCTATTGTCTTTCTTCCAACTTCTGCCTTTGATCAAAATCTGAGTCTAAACTCCACATGACTTTATTGGGGTCAAATCACCAACGTTGGGTCACATATCACAGGACATGATCCAATAAAAATCTAATAAAACCTGGAAAAGAAAATACTGGTGCATCTCAATGAATTTGAATATAGTCAAAAGGAAAATTTATTTCACTAAAACAATACAAAACATAAAGCTTAGAAATTAAGAAAACCTAAAATTCAATTTCTCTGAAAAAGCTTTTGAATGGACATCACAATCCTGCATTTATCACTGCTCCTAATAGTGTCTCTTCTTCTGCTACAGTTTTTCCTTCCAGACAACTATCCATAAATATCCTAGATACCAATGATCTTTTGTGGCTTAATTTACCTTTCTAGTGAAGAGAGCTAAAGTCTGCTGCAAATCAGCATTCTTCACCCTAATATTGGGCCTTAGCATAACACCTCTTTTATTTATTGCTTATTTAATAATAAATACATCACAAATATATTATAAATATAGATTTGTCAAAAGTCTCAGAGAAGCCAATTTCTAGTTTTCCCTCAACTCTAAGCCATGATGAATAAAATTAACAGGAAAAAATAATTTATACTCTATTATGAACATCTATAAATTCTGATCTTCCCTTTCCCCATTAGCTTACGTTTTAAAAATTACCTCCTTGATGATATTTGTTTCGCTGATATAGTAATATTTTAAAATGTACAGCTACATTTTAATATTTAAAGCAAATTTATGTCATTATTTGTTCATCTTATCTCAACAGGGACAACATTTTGGTTTTAGACATCTTCTTTGAGGCTCTGAATTATGAAACTATCGAACAGAAGAAAGCATATGAAGTGGCTGGACTTTTAGGTATTTCTACGTTTTGTCAGACATTGTGTACTGTCTTGGGTTCAGTATTGTGGATAATTAAATGTTTTCCCTTACTCTAGGTGATATTGGTGGTCAGATGGGACTCTTTATTGGTGCGAGCATACTGAGTATTCTGGAGATTTTTGACTACCTGTATGAGGTGAGAAAGTTTAAATAAGAATGCAACAATCTGATGGTCAAAATAAAAGCAAATCACGCAAACGTTAGACGAGGGCTGGATGATATGACTGAAAAATAAATGTTTTATATAAGTCGATACCGATAATTATTTAGTTTTTTTGTTTTATCTGAAATATTCCCAAGCTGGTGGTTGGTGGTGTGACCTTCCCGGTTATATCCACAGTTTTCACTCTTTTCTGTTGTTTTCTTTATTTTTAAGCAGTTATGAGGCGAAATCTTAAACTACTGCTGTGGCAGTTACTCAACAAGTTGTTGCTAGGTAACCAAAGAGTGAGTGAGTTGCTTGGTAACCAAAGAGTGAGTGAGTTGCTTGGTAACCAAAGAGTGAGTGAGTGAGTCAGTTGATTCCACCAACTTTGTTTAAGAGAGGTCGAGCAGCTAAAGCCTTTCCTGTCCTTACTTATTGAATATTTTAAATAATGTGTTATATACTGTGATTTGTTGTTATTGACTTATTTAGACTCAGTAAAAATAGAGAAAAATGTCTTCTTTTATTTGTAATAAAGCTTGTATTAGAAACAAAAAAAGAAAACAATCCCACAACCATTAGGATGTTTTGAACTTCTTCTGTTACTGTAGTTGACTGTTGTTTTTAATCCTGCCAGGTGATAAAATGCAAGCTGTGCGGCTGCTCCAATAAGAAACACAAGCACAACAGCACCGACCAAGGAACGGTCCTGAGCTTGGACGACGTCAAGTGTCACGTCAGTAACTTTCATTAAGCCGCCGTCTGGAGCAGGGAGCCTCTGCCTGGACTTTGCTACTGCGACAGTGTGAGGATGAATTAACTGGGCCTGGTTGGGCTTAACTCTCTCTGTGAACACGGTCAGGCGGCCAACAGAAGCAGACGGTCACGCAGGCAGTCAGTCAGCTGGCCTGCAGAAACCAGAGACCAACCTGGTCAGATCAACTGCATGGTCATCTGAAACATCCTTTGAAGACAGGAGCAGCGAAGCAGACATCTGCTCCTTGAAGGTTCATAACGTGTGCTGTGCTTTGGTGTGTTTATCTGTCAGCGTGATTAGGCTTTATGTAAAATGATTGTTCATTTGCAAGAATTTTCTCAGTTCTGCACTAGTCCTGTTGCCTTTATTCTCCTATTTTTCCACCCAAAAAAAGAAAAATCATTTTTATATTCCTGTCCTCCATCCTCATCTTAAGAGCCCTTGATAAACTCAGTGCATTCTGCCAAAACATTGTACTACCTCAGCTTCCAGTGCAAAGGCACCACTATGAATTTACAGACCAAGCTAAACTGACGATCAGTAAAATGATTTTTAATTATCTGGGAAACGGTGAAATATATGTGGCTTTAAATCTGTTAGTAGGTGCAAGATTTTAGTTAAGGCTCTTCTCTTTCAAAAGACATTTCAACTTTTGTAGTTATAACAAAATCAACACTATTAACACGATGATATATTGTTTTTTGACAAACAGAACAAAAAAACTGAGTCACAAACTTGCTCTAGATCTTTTTGTGATTCTAAATGTAATGTCTTTCTTCTAACTTAAGCCTTCTCAAGTCATCTAATGGTTAAACAAATGTCCTCTATGTCACTTGGTGGACATGTTCCTTTAGGTTTAATATTTTTGGAGAGTGGCTAAGACAATTGGGGACCAAGTAAAGAAAGAAGTAGCACTTATAAAAATGCTTCAATTACAGTTATTTTATAGCAGTTGTTAGGGATGCCGGTAATTGTTGCAGCAGTTATAACTTGTGTGTATTTCCTCAAATGTTCAGCGTGGAAATTATGCTTCTGCAATTGAAGATGAATCTATTTTAAGGATTTTTACACAACTTTACCAGGGGAAGGTGTAGAGAAAAAGATTAACTTATTATGAGAGTACCATCCCTGTTCCTGTAGTAGAACTAGACTTTTTTCAGTTTGTTAAATAATTAAAAACAACTCCAATTCTTATTAATTAGCATTGTATGTTTGGTTGGAAGAACCAGATTAATGGTACAATACTTTCAGTTTTCACTCAAAGCCAAACATTTCCATTCCCAACTAGAGAAATAGTGTGGAGGTCAAATGAAGAGAATATTTGGGAAAGAGGAAAGTTTCTCCCTAATTCCCATTTCAAAGTCCAACACAGGGACTCTGCCTTCAAAACGCAGGAACAGCTGTAGCAGAAAACTGTTTATTTCCACATCCAGCAGTTTGTATCTCATGAAGTCGTCCATATATTTAATACTACACAACCTCTGTTAGTCAGTGTGTTTCTTAAGTGTTTTAATACATACAAAGTGAAGAAAAATTAAATAGCTTGTGTTACTGATAGTGATGAGCTTGTCGTTGATAATCGCAGTTACCATTTTTGCAGCCAGAACATGTTAAAAGTCGGGTTAGAGTAAGTAAGCACTTCAGTCTGTTTCAGGTTTCGACCGATATTTTTGCCTGTTTCTGCTTATTAACCCTGCTAAAAATTTCCACATTAGCAGCTTATATTTTGAGTCATGCAAAGCCCCAAAGCAGTCAACCACTGAGGGAGATCAAATATTAAATATGCCTCAGTTAAGGCAACTTCCACTTATACTGCAGGTTTACCTGTGGTTTCAGTGTTTTATTAAGTTGTCTCAGATTATGTTTTTTGTAACATGGGGCCTGTTAAAAACACAGTGATTTATTTGGTGTTGCAAATGGTACAACTTTAACAACCCTTAAATCAGTTAATCAATACAAACTAGATCAAGCTACAAAACGCAAATTTAAGTCACAATAAATACAGAGAAGGATGTTGTTAAGAAGTGCTGTCCAAATTTTGAGTCCTTTTAGTAAGGCTTCTATTTACGGTATAAGTATATTATGTATTAATTTCAGCTCCAAAATTGTACATATCAAAATAACCAATCAGACATGAGTGAAAATCAGTATTTGTCACATAAAACTGAGATTTACCAGACCATATTAGGTGTCACATAATGCAAACCTTCCCCTATAAACTCAAGTTTAACTCTTTAAGTCTCAGAACAACAACAAAAGAAAAACAATTTATATGGGAAAGTTCTAAATGTTCCTATTTCTCATATTCATTTCCCTCCAGCCAATGTAACACTAAGCGATCACATCAACGAAGAAGAGTTTACTGAATGTGCTTTTCCTTCTTCTAGGGCTCTGACTTGCATGTATCGGTGCACAGCAGGTGTCTTAAAAAATGTCGTCCACGTCAATTATTCGTGTCCTCCGTCTGCTTGCGGTATGCTTGACGGTATTTGCGCAGTTTGTCCTGCCTGTTCAGGCCGTGGAAAGTGAAAGGGGGGGAAGACGGTAGACGCTGCCCTTTGTGAACGTGTGAGCTCTGCGGGTGCATGCTCATGACTTGCTGTTCTGTTTACATCTTAAATGTTGTATCCTCCCTGAGCTCTGTGTGCAAGCTTCAGCAGGAAATGGGAATGTGTAGCTGTGTTGTGGTAGCATCCAGCACAAACGTACCATCGGCTGTAACTTGATGTAAATACTGCAGTGACCATGGATAATAGCCCTGTTGTACTAGTGCTGTTTGCGTTGGGTTTGTTTAGCTCAGACTAGCTCTCCGTCTCAGTTTTCTGTACATATGAGTCTTGATGATTTATTTATCCAAAGTATATGGAATAGAAAAGCTGTGTCCTTTTTTTTTTTTATTTGCTTTGTAACGATCAAAACAGCTCTTTTCATTAGTGTGTGTAAATATAATGCCGAGTTGTTATTTTCCAGCTGCATGAACTCTTGAATCTCTGTGAAAGCTCACAGGTTGGCAAGCTTTCTGCTTTTCGTCCAGCCTCTGTTGTAAGCTTTAGGTTTTTGTTTGAAAGGAAGAAATTTGATTGGAGTAAAAGAATGTTGTTTCTGTTTGTAGATTTATGGATCAAAACAGATTTGCAGCAGTAGATTTATTAAAGATGACATGCTAACTTTATATACTTGTTTTGTCATTTCCTGTGTTACGTTTTTCAATTCTACCGGACTGCTGTTGTATTTTATTGGGATTTTAATGTGATTGAGCAACACGGTGCATCATTGTGAGGTCATACAGATTCATAATTGATTTAGATCTGGACTTTGACTAGTGCAGCCAAACACATGATTATATCCACTGCTTGGGACATAGTAGGAGATCATAAATCTTTCTGTGAAATCTAGATTTATGGACTGCACAATTAATAGCTCCTCTAGTTACCATGACCCTCTTAGCTGCTTCCCTGATCAATACCCTCCATGCCCAACCAGTCAGTTTAGATGGAAAGCCATGTCTTGGTATGTTTGCACCTCTATCATTCTTTCTTTTTTCAGATAATGAGTTGAACACAGCTCTATTTGAAAGTTGGGGATATTGTTCTATAACCTGATCCTGCTTCAAACTTCATCACAACAATAACCCTGACCTGTCAGCTCTCCTCCTCGCTCTTTATGATGCTGTTTATTCATTATTTTTCTAAAACAAATGTGAGGTTTTCATAAAATAGCTGTGTTTATATTGTTTTTAAAATACAATTAAGGAGGTGGCATTTGGCTGCACTGGGTTTTATTTATGGGTATAAGAGTTAAGTGGGTTAAATCCAAAATATATGAAATATGTGCATCTTTTTCCTTTCAACTTACAATTTTGCACTATTTTACGTTCGCTTATCACATGAAATTCTTAAAAGATACACTTGTGGTTGTAATGTGACCAAAATGTAAAAAAAAACAAAAAAAAAAACTATGTATTTCAATACTTTTGCAAGGTTGTCTTTATAAAAACAAATATCTCTGATAAATATATATATTAAATATCATACAGACTGGATTAGCATCAGAAAAGTTTACATCCACCTGAACCCACACAAATCCACTCCTGAGTGTTGTTTTAAATATGCCAAACCCATAGGGGGCAGTGTAGAGCACAGCTAAAATCTACGTCAGCCAATCAGGTCGCTTGAAAACCACCACAACTTCCTGTTAGGGCTTAAACATGGTGCCAAGAAGTTTATTTGTGTTGACAGATATTTAGGTTGAACTACTATTAAATAGCATATTATTTAAAATGCACCTGATTTCACCAGAACGCATAAAAATTAATTTGTTTTCTATGACATCCGGTTCCATGTGAAATAGGCCACAGTTTTGTTTAGCTGTTCTGCAACTTTAAGCACATTTTCTTTTTCAAGAAAATTACATCCACATCTTGTAAAAATAAAACTGGATAAAGTTGAAGTTAACTTCTCCAAAATACTTCAAAGAGGAAGTACTTTGGCATGTTAAAAGTGTGACTGAGTTTCATGACCTTTTGCCAGAAAAGTAAGCTGGATTTTCTCACATTGTTCCTTGTTCAGAGACCAGACTGCTGAGCTCAGTTCCTTCCTGCGTGGCCTCTTCTGTTTGCTGTCCAGACTTTATGCAACAACGTCCTCTTTTGTTTGAAGCCACCGGACCAAGAATTTCATCCCACAGAGATGTTCTGGCTTCTAATGGGTTCGCGACAATTTATTTAGGTAAAAAGTCAACAAATGCTGGAAGTCCATAAGAATGTTCAGTAAACAGAGAATGTTATTGATACTGAAGCATTTTCAACAAACAGATAAAGCGAACAGCAGGTTTTCATGGTTGTTTTTGACCAAGGAATTTGCTCAACATATTTTTAGTCAAAATAAATGTTAGATTTAGAGTCACACTCTAAGTTCTGTTCAAACCCAAATGTCTCCCAAACAGTTTGGTATTTCCCAAGGCCAAACTCTACATTCCCAGCTTCAAGAAACTGAACACAGAGAAAAATGTCTAGTTTTTATTAAAATGTCAAAATGTCCCATTTATTTTGATATATAATATAGTTTGCCAAACTTTAGGGCTTACAAGGCACCAAACATGCCAATATGTGAAGGATTAAAATGAAAAAAATTAAAAACTAAACAAGTCGAGATAAATTAGCATTAAAGTACCACAGATGTTGGGAAGATAAAAAACATTAACTGGTTTGTGAGAGAGGACACAATAAAAGGGACTTGGGAGTGTTGAGACAGGACCAGTAATTTAAAGCCGAGATATAAAATCTATACGGCCTAATTGATGTTTTTCATTAGGAAACAGGAACTGAAAGGTGATTCCCAGACAGATTTCTAATGACCCCAGTCTTCCCAGTTAGTCACAACATCCCTGAATCAGCAGTACAGCCAACACCACCAATCTGTCCAGTCGATTCTAATGGGAGGAGTTAGGAAAATGAATAAGATCACAGGTAAGTTTATTGTGGTACTGGACGAGAGTGAATTTAGATTGGACAAGGATTCAACTGTTCACAGCTCACAAAGAGATTTTGTCCGTTTTGCATTTTATGTTGGATTCACTTACAAGCCCTGAAACTTGTCAAAGCTGTGCAAAACATTTTGGGAAAAAAAATAAAACTGGAGTATAATATACTTAAAATGAACAAATTTGTGTTTGGTCGCTCTTCCTGTAAAGCCAGGTTTTGGTTAGTGTCAACTGAGCTGTGGATCTCTGCAGCTCCTCCAGAAAAACCATGGGCCTTGTTTGTTTTGCCCACCGTTTCTTCTGCTTAACTTATTTGAACCAATTCATTTTTTACTTTAACAATGAATTAAAAATGAAGGTGATTCACCTTTTGCTTCATTTTTAGTGAAACAACCTCATGAGGGAGTTCCTACTGCAGCTCTATTTATCTTTTGTTTTATTTATTTCATTCTTTTTGTTATGTGCCGCCATGATAAAACACTCGCCCTGACCATAAATTTAATCTGGTAAAAGGTCCAACTAATGACGAGTTTGCAGATAAGCCTGTGGCTTGAAAACCTTCAAACAAAACTGTGTTTTGTAACATTATTTACGGTTCTGTGGTTAAAAAAAACTAAAAAAGTATGAATATCTTCAATTTTTTTGCACTGTCTACTATCAATCCGTTGTCTATACTCCTTTGTGTCTCCCCAGCAGAGATAGAGTAAATAAATCCTGCACAGATTACCAGGATTATATTGGAGAGACACAAAGCTAACAGTTTTGTTTCTGGCAATAAGCAACAAGTAGTAAATAAATTAATCACATTATAAATTAAATGAAGCTCAGTCATTTTCATTTGCATGATTTATTGTTTCTCTCTCTCTCTCTCTCTCTCTCTCTCTCTCTCTCTCTCTCTCTCTCTCTCTCTACCTAAAACTGGATGACAAAAGTCTTCAGTCTGGTGTTTTAGTCTTAACCTTTTTTTAAGAACAACTTTCTGTACAGAGTCTTCATAATTTATTTTATTTGTTGTCTCCGTTGCTTTTAAAATGTCTTCCAGTTCCAGTGTAAAATTTTCATTCTACTGTAACTTAAAGTTTACTCATCTTCAAGAATGTGTTCTTGTATTATTATGCCTTTACCACTATGCTACTTGAAAATGATCTCAAAACAACAATATTATTGTTTACCGCAGTAACTAATTTATTATATCATGAAAGGGAGACCATACAAATTCAAGACTGGGATTTGAACCTCTGACATTTTTACTTTTACTTCGGTAACTTGATTATGGCGTATTTCTACTCTTCTACTGTCTATGTTTGACCCACTGTGAGTAACTTCACTGAAAAAAAAACTTGTTTTAAGTAAAACTTCACCAGACACAAACCTGGAGTTTTTGTTAACGTTTCATAAGTTTTAGAGTGAAAGAAATTGATTTGGAAAAATGTTGGTCTAATTTTGTTATTTTATAATGAGGTTTTATATGAATAATTTTCATTTTCACATAACTTTACATTAAATGATTAATGTTTTGTACTTACTCGGCACTTGAGTAGCATTTTTTACAAAATACTTATTTCCTCTTACTTGAGTAGTTTCTTGGATACTTTTTACTTTTACTTGAGTAAAAATATGTTGAAGTAGTGCTACTTTGAACTGAGTACAATTTTTGGGTACTCTGCCCTCTGCACTGCAAAAACACAAAATCCTCTCAAGTATTTTTCACTAGTTACTTGTGCAAATATCTTAGTCTACTGGAAATAAGACAAAACTGACAAGTAAATTTTCAGTAAGATATAGGAGCTTGTTTTAAGTCAGTAATTCTTTAATATTGATGAAAATGTGCTTATTCCATTGGCAGATTGTTTCATTTGTTTCAAGTTAAATAACCAGCCAGTGGAACTTGTACTTTTTTGTCAATATTAAGAAATTGTTTACTTAAAACAAGCTCCTATATTTTGCCGAACAGATATTTGTCAGTTGGTTGTGTCTTAAATTATTTGCACTAGAAACTAAACAAAAATACTTGGTAAGAGTTTGTGTTTTTGCAGTGTAACTGTCCAACCGTGCAGCCAAAGGTTTATCGTGTAAAAACCCTAATAAGACATTGGAGTTTTCCACAGTAAATACTCCGGTCGGACCTTTAATCTGCTAACCTTTGCCCCCTGAATGAAGCGCCAGGCTCAGCCCTCGCTTGAACGGGGCGGGCCGGTGTCTCCTCCCGCGAACAAGCCAATAAAAACAGAGAGTAGTTTCATAACAGGACTGCAGTCAGTGCAGCTCCAGCTTCACCTCCGGGACTCAGCGCCGCATCTCCTCACCAATGGCAGCTCCGAAGAAAGTCTGCATCGTGGGCTCCGGAAACTGGCAAGTTGATGTGTTTATGTGACGGGCTGTCGGGATGCGTCAGGTTTCCTGCGGGACGTCACAGCTGACACGTTGTCTCTAGAGTCTTTAACTAGCAGTACTTTGCAGTGGGGAAGGTGAATGGAGTCCATCAGTAACCTCCTACCGCTGCTGTAAAATGCTTCATTAGCAGGAACAGCAGCTGCTTTCAGTCACATGCTGAGAAACTGGCTGAGTTTTCAAAAACAACTGACCGCATGTCAGTCACGATTACTGGGGTGTTTTTTGCCCTTGAAGTTAGCCATAACAAGTGTGCATTAGCTTAGCTTGTTCTCAATGCCAGTTGTCCATTCATAAATC